AGGTCGACGGCGCGGTCGCGGCGGCGCCTGGACTTCCCGCGCGCCGAGCCGGGTCAGGATCGGAGATCGACTACTTCCTGGTCTCGAGCGTTCTGGGCGGCAAGGTGCAGGGCCGCCGCAGGCAGGGCGCGGCTTCGGCGCCGCGCTGGCCCGCGCGGCCCCTGCTCAGCGGCAAGGGCGCCACCGAGCGCGGGCTGGTCCACATGGCGGCGCGCGCGCTGCCCGCGCAGCGGCCTGTTGGGCCGCGCCCCGAGCTTCCTTCCTGGGGGCCTTTCCCGCAGCGAGCGCGCGCGGCGCCGGTGCCGACGCGGCGACGCTGAAGTGGCTGAGAGAGAACCTCGGCGCGAGCTGGGCCGAGGTCATCCACGGGCTGCGGGGGCGCGACCGAGGGCCATGGCCTCTGTGACCTGACGGTCGACGTGCCAGGGGGGTCGCGGGATGCTGCAGCGCAAGATGGAAGCGCGGTCGCCGCGGGTCGATCCGCGCGGGAGATCGGCCAAAGCTCGCCCGAACCGCTGATCCCAGAGCGGCTCTCGCCAAGGCCCCGCGCCGACACGAAGCGAGGGGGGTGGCAGAACGCAAGCCCCAGCCCCCAGGTGGCTATCTGGTCTCGGCACCGCTGCACGTCGCGGCGGCCGCGGACGTCGTCTACTTCTTCACTTCACCCTGATCGAGATCTGACTCTGTAGCTTTAGTTTCCTGCATGCCAGGGGCGGGCGTCGCACTCTATAGGCAGCCGGAGCTGCTCGCCTCCCGTGGTTTTCCTTGCCTCTACCTCCGTTCCCCTTTTTTCCGCCTTGGCTGCCTAGCCACGGGCGTTCCCGCCCCGTCGCGCCCCGCCCCTACCTGGTAGGTTTCGGGCCGGCCTCGCGGCGGACATCCAGGCTCATCGCATGGCGCGTTACTTTTCTATTCCATGCTCTCGCTCCTCCAGTCCTGCTAGTTTACTCGCGCGGGGCCCGGCGCAAACGCCGACTGCAGGTTGGCTTGCGCGCGCGAGAGTTCTTGTGTTCTTGTGCATGCTGCGCGTGTGCACGCGCGGGTGCGTTTTCCCCGCCCGTCTCCCCTCCTCCTCTTCCTGTGCATGCTGCATGTGTGTGTTGTTGCGCAGTGCCATTACCTAGCTACTCGCTGCTCCCGCAGTCCCCTGCGCGACGATGGTCATGCCATGGCCTCGCAATTGCATTTGGTCGCTGCCCAGCGCCTTATTTCCGCGCGCGTCGCACTGAGTCGCCGACGAGCGCGACACCTTGCGAGCGCGCCTTCTGCTGGTCAGCGGGGCGCCCAGACTCGCAGGAGTCGGCTGGCGATGACTCACAGGGCTTTGCTCAGTGCTCTCCTCCTTTCCTCGTCCCCTCCTCCTTCCTCTCTCCTCCCCTCTGCTGCCCGACTACGGGGCTGTTGCCGGTTTTTGCCGCCATCTCTGCGCTGCTGCCGGTTCTCTGGCACGGGGGTGATGCGTTTTCGGGCGAATTCGTATCTTGCGCGACCTGCCTCGTCGTTTTCTGCGTCCGTTTCCACGCTTTTGGTGGGGGGCAAAACGGCTTTCAAGCGCAGCCGGCGCACGAGTTACGACGACGGTGCTTGAATCTCGCGGCCCGCGCCCCCCCCCCCCCCCTCCCTTCAAAACAACGAATAAAGGTGTCGAAGCGAAGCCCAGGACTGGGGGGGGCAGGCCCCCAGGGAGTGAATCTCCGGCGGCGAGGGCAAGGCATGCGAGGGCGCCGCCCGGCCCCAGGCCTTCGACGCGGACATGGCGGCGGCGATGGGGCAGCGCTCGACGACGTCGATGCCGGGCCTGTCCAAGGCGCACGAGCGAGTGCGTCATGCAGGGTTGGCGGCGGCAGCGCGGAGGCGTGGGTTTTGCGCGCGGCGCCTGAAGCTCACCCTCCGCTCGCACGGCGATCGGCGCAGGCCCTGTCTTGGCCAGTGGGTGACCGAGGCCTCCTCGCTAGGGACCTTGATCATCGCTTTCGCCGCGACCCTGCTGAAGGTCGTGCTCCTCTCGGCCATGGGCCTCCCCATGCAGAGCTGGCAGAACGTCATCGCCTACCTCGTCGTGGGCGACGTCACCCTGCTTGCTTACTGTCGGCGGCCGAGGGACGTGGAGTTCGGCATCCTTGGCGCGACCACGTGGCTCTGCCAGGGGCTGGGGGGGGGGGGGGGGCGGTTTCATTATCTCGGCCACCAAGGGGGGCAGCCCACCTCCTCAGGAAGTGACACTTCAGGTTGCGCCGCGAGGCTAAGAACTTGGGGGTCGATTTCGCGCTCGGCGGCAAAACTTCGCGGGGGGTGCTGCGGGGACATCTGGTGCGTCCCACCATGAAGGCGTCGCGCCACGCACAGTTGAGGCGAGCGGGGGCCATGCTCGGGGCCGTCTTCAGGCGCAGCGGCCTCGCCACCATCCTCCACGGCGCCCGAGTCAAGGGAGCGCCGTCCAAGGTGCCCGACCAGGCCAGGATCATCAATGGCAATGCGGTGGCGGGCGGCTGCGGCAAACGGAGCAGGACGCTGCTGTTCGCCATCCAGCCTGGGCATGGGTGGCGCCAAGACCAAGACCCCGCCTGCGCGGGCGGCGTGGGCCAAGGCTTTTTTCGCCATTTTCAGGCCCGCGGTCAGCGCGCGCAAGGTCTTCGAGGTGACGCGGCCAGCCCGCTGGGGCCAGGTCACGGGGCCTGCTGGCGCGGTGCGCCTCAGCCTGGGCCGCGTCGGGTGGTTCGCGGACCGGTGGGGCGCGCGGGTCACCATCTGGGGTGAATCGATCGACCTATGGTCAGAACGCTGGTCGAGCGGGGGGCGCAGCGGTTTCTTCTTCGCCCTGTGCCTGCGCACTTCCACGGGCGCGGGCAGCGGGCAGGGCCGCACACGAGGTGCCTTGCGCGGGCGGCGCTGGAGGTGCTGAGGGCGCAGGGCGACGCGGAGCAGGTGGCGCTGGTGGAGAACCTGGCGCGCGGCGGTCTGGTCTCTCAGACCGACCCGCGTGCGGAGCGAGCCGCCACCTCGGCCGAATGCCAGCGGCGCGGCACGGGGCGGGGCTCGCACCACCACGGGGTCTTCGCCTGGAGGACGTGCGTCGGGCTGGAGCGGCCGCTGACATCGCGGACGCGGGCTTCGCGAGGTGCTTCGCCCCGCTCGGGCTGGAGGCGTCGCCCGCCCCCGCTGAGAGTGAGCTGCGCACGCGAGCAGGCGTCTTGAGGCACGGGGGCCTCTCGGGCACAGTCCGCGTCGACGGGTCGGCCTTCCCCCCGCGGCTCGTCGAGCTCGCGAGGACGGCCTGGGCGCCCTGGGCGCGGAGGGCGGCGGCGTCATCGGCGGCCCGATGGGCACGGTTCCAGGAGTAGTGCAGGATATCTGCTTCGCTGAGCTCCACGCCCTGGCTCGCGTGCTGCGCGAGGCGGGCCAGGGCGAGCTGTGCGTGGTCACGGGCTGCAGGAATGTGGCTGATGATTTTCGGAATGGGCCAGGCTGGTGCAGGAGCCCCGAATGCAAGTACGCGTCGCTCTGGAGTCAGACCTGGTTGGGTCCACGGCATGGGCGAGCGTTTCGAGCCCTGATGGGCGAGAGGCCGCACGGGCTGGGCCGCTGCAGAGCGAGTGGGCACGAATGCCCTGGCACATCGGCAACCACGAGGCCGACGAGAGAGCGAAGCTGGGGGCCCGGCTGCGCGCCGACTTCAAGGAGGTCGGCGAGCTCGCCAGGCGCGCGAGCGCGGCGACTGTCGCCGCGTCGACGTTGCTGCGCCATCATGGCGCTGCGTTGAAGAAGGCCGCCGGGCAGGGGTGGCCAGATCGGTCGGCCCTCCCCCCGCCGTGCCCGCCCCAGGGGTTCTCCCTGGTCTCAGGTCCCAGTGGGCACGCCTCGGGGTGTCTGGGGGGGGGCCCTGGCGCTGCAGCAGGTGTGGGGCCAGGAACGGGCTCCGATCGAGGATAGTTCGCCACCCCTGCCCTGGCGAGCCCAGGCCCGCGGCGATCGCTCATCCCTCTCATGGGCTGTGTGTGATTCGGGGCGGGCGTGGGATGCGGGGGGGGGGGCGGTCGGGCCCTTGGTAGGGACGAACCGATTGTCTTTTGCAAGCTGTGCGGGGCTTATGCCCGCCGGCAGGCCCACCTCCTGGACAGGAAGCGTCGCTCCTGGACGTCTCGACCCAGGGCCTCGGTCCGTCTGGGGAGGGCGAACCTGGAGCGCCTGCTGTCTGGTCGGGAGCCCCAGTCTGGTGTTTTGGGGGGTCTGCCTCTTCCGTTCCCGTTTCGGCCCCTGGTCCGAGGCCTGCGGGGGCCGAATCTGGGTTTTGGGCGGCCGCCCTTGAGGACTGAGGGGTTCTCGGGGGGGGCTGGCCCTTTAAACTCTCTGCGCGTCGTAGTGCGAGGGTCGGGCCCTCGACTTCGGGGCGGGCCCTACTTTAAGTGGGCGGGTGTGGTTAGCCGAGCCGACCACGCTTTGTAGGAACGAGAAGAAATTCGAAGAGGCGGAGGAGGAAAAGGGCGGATGAGGAGGAGGGCGGATGACGATGATGACGAGGAGGAGGAAGGAAGGATGGAACAAGAGGAGGAGGAGGAAGACGATTATTGTTCCATCCAGAATGCCTGTGTTGGTCGGTGGTGGAGCGCCCCCGCTAGCCCATTCCCCCCCTCTCCGTCCGCCGGCGCTGTCGTCTCTCCCTCCTCGGCTTCCTGCGGGGCCCCGTCCTCGGTAAGGCGTTCCGAATTCGGGACGATCGAAATCGAAAAGGTAAACATACCCTTCCCGTTGCCCTTCGCCCGTTTCCTCTGTTGTTGGGCCTCCTGGGACGCCCCCGTCGCCACCGCTGGATTCTTCTTGGAATTCTGGTCAGAACGCGCACCGGGAGAGGCCTGGGCGTTGCGAAAAAATTCGCGACGGGATGTTTTTTTGCGGTGTTCGACCCCCGGGGGCCCTTCCAGGGCCCCCGGACCGTACAACAAATATTCGGGATGAGAAGCCGATCCCGGGGAAACGGTCTTTGAGAAACTCAATTGGCCAAGGTGACTGCTGCAGTGCATCGACACTCTCTACAGCCACATCCATTGCGACGGTGTTGTTGGCGGGGCCCGGCGGGGTGGATTTGATATCACCCGCGGGGTCCGGCAGGGGTGCGGTTTGTCGGTTCTGTTCTTCGTGGTAGCTATCGACGTGCTGATGCGACGGCTCTCCCGGCTTCTCCCAGACAGCACCCTACGCGGCTATGCCGACGACCTTGCGCTGGCCACTCGCAACGTTTGGCGCGACGTCTTGATTCTGGAGCCTTTGTTTTGTGATTGCGAGAGGATCTGAGGTCTAGTCCTGAACACAAAAGAAGTCAGTCCTCGTGCCACTCTATCCTGCTACTGTCGATGATTCCCGGACGCGCCTTACCAATGTCGCCCTTTTGTGGGGCTCATTCAAGATTGCGTTTCAGGCCAGGTACCTCGGATTCGTCCTGGCCCAGGACGGGGTGAACTTACTTGGGCCGCCGCGACGGCGAAGTTTCTGGAGCGGTCTTCAGTATGGCGGGCTGCGAGCGCAGGACTGCTGCACATGATTGAGGCGTTCCACGTCTTCATCATGTCCGTCATGCTTTTCCCGGCCCAGTTGGACCCCCTGCCGACCAATTACGACGATCTCGAGAACAAAGCCTTGCGGCAGTTATTCCCTGGACCCCGCGGGTGGTTCACCACGCAGGTCATGAAGTCGCTGCGGCATGTTGGATTTCCGAAGGAGCTGCCTGATGACCTGCAATCCGCTGCAGTCGCGGCGCGGGCCCGCGTCGCTCTTCATGAGAATGCCCCCGAAGGCGGACTTCGAGTGCGCACCCGGCTGTCCAATCTTAGGCGGCTGATTTCGGACAGCGACAACATCTTACGACGTGCCCGCTATGCGGACTGGGTTAATGGTCGTGTTATCTTCTCCCTGGATGTTGGATACTCTCGACTCCCACGTTACGGACGACCCGGTGTTCACTGACGTGCAGCATCCAGGTCATGAGCGTGTCGGCGGGCAGGCCAAATTCACGATTCTTGTTCGACCCCACGTGAACACGCTGCGTTGGTGCATCCACGTCGCCGGCTGGATCGGTGGACCTGTACAACATTACGCGGCCACCGAGCGGGGCGGCTTTTGCAACATACCCAGAGGCTGACCACGATGGTTGCCCCAAGGGGTTTTTGCGGCGATGCTTCGCACTGCTTTGGATGGTTGGGTCATGTCTACGCGGGTTCGTTCCGTGCCATCTTGTGTCCTTGGTTGCGGAGGCCCTAATTCCAAGTATCACTACCCCGGCTGCAGGATGTACCGCGACCTCTGTTCCGGGTACTTGGGCCTCACCAGGCCGGCTGCTCAGTTTCTCACAGATGATTTTGTCGGGGTGCATGCCGCGTCTTCGTCGCGGGCGAACCCTAGCTTGGACAACGGAGAGGTTCATGCCCTCAGGGCGATTGCTGTGTATGCGCTATACCGGGTCCACGGGGCGGTACGGCATGTAGCTGACAGGGCCGATGCTTCAGAGCTGTTTCGTGGATCGTGGGGCAGGCCACGGAGCTCCACCCGAAGTCGCGCGCGCTCGTGAGCCGGGCCTTCAAGCGATCCCGAGGCGTGGCCTGAGCCCTCGCCCGCCCCGTTCCTCCTCCCCCCCTCCTCCTCCTACTTCCCCTTTTCCCCTTTACCAACAGTAACACGGCGTAACACATGTCACGATGTCGGTGCGCCGTCACATTTTCTTCTCGGGGCGGAAATTCGGGCGGTTATTCGCCAGAGATATGCTTGTTAGGGTCCGTGTCGGGTTCGGAGAGACCGTTTCCGACCCAGCACTGTCCAGCATTAGCCCTGGGCTTGGGCTCGGAAGGTCGGGTCACGAGCGGTGCCAGGGGGCTCAGACTGTAATCGTGCACCCTCGTTTCAAGCTTCACCCGCCTCAGCCGTCGGCCGCCCTCCAGCCACCAACGTGTTCAGATGGCATGCGGCATGCCGGTGCCGTTTGCTGTGCTCCTGTGTGTTCTTCGCGACGTGTTCAATCCATTTGCGTTTTCTTATCTTAGTGTCCTTGCTGTCCCGTGGTTGGCCGGGGCGCGCTGGGCAGTGCACGGGTGCCAATCGCGGGAGTCGTGGCAGTTCTCCCCTCCCTTCGCTCCCCCTTTCCCCCTCGCCCTCTCATCCGCCCCAGGTTCATTGTTTTCGTGGGCCGGTCCCGGCCCGCGTTAATATCTAGTGTCTTCAGCCTCTGCGCGCCGCTGCTGGTCGCGCATTCGGGCCTCAGGCCAGCTGGGTTTGGGCAGACCCACTTCAATTGGAATGTGTTTCTCGTGTTTGTGTTCTCTCCCTCCTTTTCTGCCCCTTCCTCCTCTTCCCTCCCCTGTCCTCCCCCTCGGTTTCACGAATACGACCATGGGGAATTGTCGTGTCGTCCTTAGGTTTGCTCTCACAGGGCGGGGCAAACATGACACTTTAACACTCCTGCTCCGCATGTTGGCTCCGTTTGTGCTGTTCCCCTTCTTCTTTCCGCCTTCCTTCCTCCTCCTCCTCCCTTTCCTCCTCCTCCTCCTCCTCCTCCATGGTAGTGGTGACGTCTACCCGGCCGGTCGGTTTGAGTCACGGCCGCTATCGAATTTTAGCCTGTATCCAACGGGTGCGCTTAAAGCCCTCACGAGGGGAAACGGATCTGTCTGATGTTGGGCGAGCATCGGGTGCTTTGGTTGTTGTCGAGGTAATTTGCGGCAAAAAGAAACAAACCAAAACAAAACAAACAACGATCCCGGGGAAGGGGTCCAGACCTCAGGGGGTCGACGTTGCGAGAATCACGACGTAGTCAATTATCGGCAGAGTTTCTTGTTGGTGTCGCCGCGGGCATTGTTTGTTTGAGGCAGGAGGCCGCCTGCCCAGCAGTGGCCGATGTCGGTGTTGGACAACACTTGTTTGTAGGCATCGTACCAGTTAGTTCCGTACCCATGTCGGACGTCCAAAGTTCACGAGGATGCCTCTGGGGCAGGAGGCGCTGGCCTTCGCCGTAGCCCCCCAAACACCTCCACCCAGAGCCTGGACACCCCTGTGGGTTTTCCCTCCGTTCCCGTTGTAGTTTTGTGGTTGATAGGCAAGAGGCTCTTTCTAAGCTCTGATCCTGACCCCCCACTCTCTCTCTCTCTCTTTTCCTCCCCCTCTCTCTCTTTCTCTTTTTGCGACGCGGGGATTTATCCACAACCACCGCCTGGGGATCGATCTCCGGGGCTCTCGGCAGGCGGCGTGTACGATGTGTTTTGGCCCTCGGGGTGGCGAGCGTATCCATCTCCGCCGCCTACCGAGGATCGATCCCCAGGCGGCGGTTATGAATGATTGCCCCGTTCCCTTCCTCGTTCTCCCTCGCCGAGGCGGGGGCCGTGGTGCAAATCGGCCGCCACCGTCGAGGTCGGGTTTCCCTCCCATTCGCCGCCTGCGCCGATCCCGGCCAGGCTTATCCCGGGCCGAGGGATCTGTGTACGTCAGGTGTTGCTGGAAGTGCCCTTGGCCCAAGGTGCCCCCCAGGTTTGTCACGGATGTTCAAGAGATCCAGAGGGTCCCAGGGGCTCCAAGATGGAACGGAAAGTTGGGAACACCTTGGGCTAAGGGAGATTTTCTAGCACCCCCCGAGTACGACGCCCTCCTGCCCAGGACAGCAGGGTGTATACACCAACCCTTGGCCTGGGAGGGGCCTGGCCTGGATCGGCGTATGTGCATATGTAGCGTCCCCCTGTTGCAGTGGTCGCTGGGACTCGGAACACTTGCAAGTCAAGCCAGCTGCTTCAAGTTGGGTCCGCGACTTACTAAGACTTTGCGGAGCAGTGAGGTGGACGTGCAACCTACTAGCAGGCACCTTGCTAGTGAGTTGCAACCAGCTTTCGGCGGCGAGCCCAGAGGGGAAGTGAGAAGGGGCGGGTCTTCTGGAAAGGCTTGGACGGTCTCGGGCCTTGTGAGAAGTTTCCTGCGCCTCCCCCGACGACACAGACAACGTTTCAGAAGGCCGGAGGGCTTCTGGGAAGCCCCACCGCCTTCTCTCAGAAGGCCCCAGGCGAGCCGCCGAACCTTGCAACTGTTGCTACTGTTCCAGGTCGAACCGACGACCACTGCCCCCCGCCGCCACCCTCCATCCCACCCGGCCAGGCCCTGGTGGCGCGCGAGAAGTCCGTCGTGGAGGACCGCCGCGCTGGGCCGTGCGCTGGGGAAGCTCGGGCCAGACGAAAGGGGGGGAAAGCCTCGGAGACAGCCAGGACCTTGGCATAAGGGGCGCCAGTTAGTGGTTGGGCCCCCAAGGCCCAAACATGTCCCAGAATTGTGAACCAGGTCTTCCGTAGCTGGGTGTTTCTGCCGATGGCGACAGTTCCGGTTAGTGGAATGAGGCGGGGGGGCGTCCCCCCGGTACGCATCATTGAGCCAGGTCCCATAGAGTCCAGTTCTGCCAAAGCCCGACATATCCCCCCCTCTCGTCCGATTCGAGGCGCGCGCGCGCGCCTCGGGCGCGCAGCCAGGGCTTTCTTTGGGGCCGCAGCTGGCGAGAGAGTTGAGGATCGTCATGGGGAATGATGGATCCTCGATGGGATTCGTCCTTTTCAGGAGGGAAGAAAAGCAGAGACATAATGAATCGTCGATCCCCAGGAAAACCCAGAAAACATGTTTGGAAAATTCTCAGGATCCTGGGATATGTGCCTATTTATTTGTCTCCCTGGGCCCCTTCACCTCTGTCGGTGCTTCCAGAAGGCTTCTCGTCGCCACGGCTGGATGCTCTGTCTGGTCAGAGTGCACCCCAAGGGAACTTCAGGGGGGGTAGATTTCGAGGCCCTTACGAGCGGTGCCGCCGACCCTGAAGGGGGACGACGACGGCGGCGACGGCGACGACGAGGACGCCAACACATTGGAGCCGCCTTTCGGGGGCTCCTCATGGAAGCCCCGTGGTTGGAGCTGATCTGAGGTCTCATGATGCTCGCACTCCCAAGCCAGGATGGCGTACACACCGATCCTTTGCTCAGGAGGTGCTTGGCCTGAATCGGTGTATGTGCATAGGTAGCGTCCCCCCACAGCAGTGGTCGCTGTGACTTGGAACAGTTGCAAGGCAGGTGCAACCCACCTGCAAGGCGCCTTGCAAGTGGGTCGCACGTCCGCCCATCTGCTCCAAATTGGGTCCGCGACTTACCCAGACTTTGAGAAGCAGTGACGTGGACGCGCGACCTACTTGCAGGCGCCTTGCAAGTGAGTTGCGACCACCTTTCAGCGAGGAGCCCACTTCGGAAGTGCGAAGGGGCGGGCCTTCTCAAAAGGATCGGACGGTCTCGGGCCTTGTGGGAAGCTTCCTAAGCCTCCCCCGAAGACGCAGAAATCCACTCGGAAGGCCAGAGGGCTTCTGGGAAGCCCCGCGGGCAGGTTTGCTCGCGGTCGGCACGGCAGAAATGTGGCCCGAAGTCTTTGGTTGCCGCGTTGGGTCCTCGCACTGCACCTCAAGCAGGCCCCCCTTCTTGAAGTTCTGGTCCAGAATGACTTCGCAGATTGATGCTTCTTGGCTCCAGGCCTCCAAGATATCGGTCGGAGGATGGCGCCGCGTCGCCGATGCATCGCCGATGCGGCTCGATGTGGAGCCCGGTCTTCTCCACGCCGACGTCGCCGACGCACCGCCGACGTTGCCGATGCGCCGCCGATGCTTCGCCGACCCCATCTACTCCGACCGCATCTGGGAGGCGTCTATCGGCGGCGCGCACAGGGGGGCAGGGGGAGGGGGGAAGGTTTCGCTGTGGAGGCCTTGACGTTCTGGTCGTATCGAAACTTCTCGACGGATGGTTCTACAAGTTGTCGGACTATGCCATCGCCAGGTTCCAGGGCACAGGATGAAAACCGGTCCCAGGAAACGGGTCTGGCTTCCAGGTGTCGACGTTGTGACACAATCACTGCGTCGCAGCTCCCAGGGGGGTCCTCCTAGGCCTCCCAGCTGGTCGGAGGATCGCTCTGCATCGCCGATGCCGTCGCAACGGGGATACGGCTCGATATGGGACCCGATTCATTCCACGCCGACGGCGGCGATACATCGCCGACGTCGCCGATGCATCGGCGATGCATCGGCGATGCGGCGCGATCCTCCGACCCCATCTGCTCGGTCCTCGTCCAGGAAGCCTCCAGTCCTGAGGGGCGGGGGGCCCGAGGGGTTCTCGCCGTCGTTGGGCTCCCCTTCCCCCCCCTCGGCCCGGCCACGCTGTCTGGCAAAGCGCGCGCAACTCCGAGCTCCTCTCCCCTCGCCCCTGCCTCGCCCCTCGCCTCGCCCTCCCGCGTCCCCCCCCCCTCCCCCTCCTCACCCCCCTCTCCTCCCCTCGCCCCTCGCCTCGCCCCTCCCTTTCGCCCCTCGCCTCCCCTCCTCTCTTGCTCCTGCCCCCCTCTCCTCCCCTCGCCCTTCTCTCGCCCCGCCCCCACTCGCCCCCACTCTCTTTCGCCCTCCTCGCCCCCCCCCCCCGCCCCGCCCCGTCCTCCAAAAATAATAACACACTATGAATTCTACTCTCCTCTCTCCCCCGACTATGTCCAGAGAGCGCCCGAGGGTAGCCGCCCCCCTCCGCGCATTTGCGTGTAAAGGCACGTTGTGCGCCTGCTCGCTTTTCTTATGTGTTGTCTCAATTCGATGGGTTGTAGTTGCTCTCGCTGCAGCGTGGGTCTCGTTCTCAGATCGGCGCTGTGGCCCCGTCGTTCACATTGGCCCTCCCACCCGAGCGTAGGCAATTCTTCTGGATCTCGCATCGCAGGTCCCACAGGTCTCGCTGGTCTCGCAGGCCCCACAGGTTCCACAGGTCCATCAGGACTCACAAGTGTCGCAGGTCGTCCCACAGGTCACATAAATACTGCCTGTCTGACAGGCCCAGAGGCGTCCCAGGTCTGGCATGCCCACCAGGTACCAAGGGTCCGACAGGTCTCGCCACAGGTCCCAGAGGTGCCGCTTGTCTCACATTTCCCGCCAATGCCACGGGTCCCACAGGTCTCGCAGGTCTCAAGGGTCCCAGTCCCCACATGTCCCACAGGTTCCATTGGTTCCATAAGTGTCGCAGATCCCATACGCCCCACAGGCCACAGACGTTCCCCAGGTCGCAAGGGTCCCACAAGTTTCCCTTCTCCGACTGCGCATAACACGATTGGGTATGTTTTGGAGTTCCAGGTCGGCTATGACACGCGTCCACGGATAGTGAGAGAACAGCTAAATGGGAAGGGGTGAGAGGGAGGGGTAGGATGTCAGATATGGCGCGCGCGCACCTAGCTTGCCTCTCCTCCTTCCCCTCGC